GTTATTTTAACTTGAGTTACATACTATGACAATTTTAATTTTTTAGTTAGGCCTTGGTTTTGCATAATTACCTACGCCTGTCTCTTATACACATCTTACAACATAGGCCTACTCAATCACAGTGTGTCAGTAAAAGAAAAGGGATATATCGATCGATTAGGCCTAGCTATCTTCGGCGAGGCCGCTAATTGGGGTCTGGCTTAGCTCTTCTTCTTTCTCTAACATTGAACTTCCTAAGTCTGAGCGCTTAATTGATCGCGGCAATTAAAACAACACAATGATACTTCTAATGGTGTTACCTCATATCATTGCATCTATATTTCTCGCCCATAATGCTATTAAACCAATGTGCTTCCTCGAAAAATCCACAATCGTACGCCACTGCGTCGTAAAAATTGTTTTAGTCAGAAAACTTTGATCGATCCAGCAAAATTCACAACCCTGGTGCTCATGCTTTTGAGTGGTGACATAAGTATTAATCCCGGACCAACAACATCTCATTTTAGGAGTAAAGTTAAAACACCATAATACATAATGTGAAACTGGAATCATTTGCACCAGCAAAGTCATCATTTGTAACTTATGCAAATGTTGGACTCGCATCAGATGCTCGAATTTTTTTTTAAAGACGCTGGCTACAAAAAAAAAAGAAGAAAAAAAAAAAAAAAACTCGTTTAATGCTTCTCCGCTTCACGATATTGATACCGACAACATGTTAAGTTGCTAATTTTAAATCGTATTTTATAGCATTACGTCTTTTTATTTAAACTGATGTTAGTGCCAATTAAGTTTATTGTTTATTGTGTAGCGCCCTCAGGCATAAAGAGGTAAAACAGCGTGATGGATTCGAGGAAACACAGTTAGCCAGTGAGGCCTAAAGAAGTAAAGGTCCCTACAGATGTAATGTACGTCACTTCACGTGACCCCAATGGAAACACAGCAACGATTACTCAGGTCCAGTGGTGTGCAAGGAAAGGCAACATGATTGTTAAATCGTACCACTTACCGCGCCTACTAAGTTTCGAAAATTTCACGAAATGCGTAAGATCAATATCTGACATCTTCGCTCTGGTCCTGGCTGTAGCTTTCTTCTTCGTAGGTACTACAACATCCACCAACACTTACAGTCAAGCAGGCTTCAAGCGGACCATGTGTGCGTGCCACACTGTAAAGTATTTTTGCATGCGGATACATAAACAATTAGCCAAAATTTGTGAGAAGATCGCCAGAAAAATAGGTGCGTAAAATCAGAAATACTGCATAATACATTGGTTATATGTTGAGACAAATAATGAGAGAGTGTGTGTACGTGACAGGATAAACATACCATTACTATAATTATTGTATTTATTCTTTATAAATGAAATAGGTCGAAGGTACAAAACAGCAAATATTATTTTTTGCGTTGCACAACATGATTATAATAGTATTGCTAGGAGAGCCGTATATAGTCTGGTATCCGTATGAGATAAACACACTGGTAACACTTTAAAGACTAATTATTCTAATACAGCAGCTTTCGCCACCTGTCCGGTGTAGCTGGAAATCAACATACAGTACTGCACAGTACAAAACAATAATTTTGAAGGGCGCCCGCTATAATTATGGGAATTCCCCTTTCTGCATTACGTCATCGTGCACCGTGCCAGCATTAAAACAAAAAAAATCACCATTCAGAGGATCAGAAGTATCATTTATGTTGGTTTTGACTCAGAGCCTGGCCAGATTTTATTTTTGTTGTAGTAAGTTACTTTGAAATTCAGTTGAATCTGTCTGCCTACTCAGCTAATTATTCTACAAACGAGGAAATAAAACGTCACATTTTGTTATACTGTACATTACAAATTTATATAATCATTTCTAATTATACAATGAGAATTAACAATCTACATGAGGATTACTAATTAGAATATCAGCAATATATAATCATTGAAAGTCATAACAAGTTTTATGTTCATTATTCGAGTTATGATATAGCTTCCCTTCTGTAGGATGAGGGGCAAAATCTTAATAAAAAATTGTTTTCTTCTTAACGAGGTAGC